CGTGAGGGCTGGGGTGGTTTGGGGTTTTGGGGTTTTTTTTAGGGGGCGTTTTGAAAGATCGCAGCGGGCCTCCGCAGCGGGCTGAGCAGAGCCCGCTGCTGGGACCCTTCCCAGCATCCCAGTCCTCCCAGTCCGGTCGCTGGATGGCGGGGCTGAGGCAGAAATGCCAGGAGAGCGGAGGAGTGAAGTCGGGGGGAGAGAGTGGTGAAGAAAGTTGCCACTGGCAGCCCTTTAAAAAAACACTGCTGCTTCTTGATAGACCTTTTTGGGTAGCCGGAGGAGCTTCTGGTACGGGGTTGGGGTGACAGGGGGACAGGCAGATGTTTGGGGACCAGCCTTCAGGGCTGGGCTGCCCCCACAAGCCTCCTTCAAAGGTGACATGGTGGGGTGGCCCAAGGAGAGGGGATGATCCCACTTTCCCCCCGTCCCTTTGTTCCCTGCCCGTGCCAGTGGGTGAGTCCCCCATCCCATCCCAGTTTGGGGTTTCATGATGGGCTCCGTTGCTCCTTCTTTTTGTCTTCCTATTTCTCTCCCCGTTGTCCTCATCCCAGCAGGAAGGAGCAGCTTTGAAGTCACTCCTAGGCTCCCCTCCATGGGCAGGGGAGGAGCTGAGCCCCTTTCTCTGCCTTTTTCCGGGAGCCTCGGTGGGAAATGTTTCCAATTAAAATTCCAAAATGGCTCCTCGGCGCTGTCTGGCGGCACGGGGGGGAGGAGGAGGACGAGGAAGAGCATTTTTCATGAATGGATGTGGCAGGAGCTGTCTGTCCTGCTCAGTGACCCCACCACAACCGCCGAACCCACTAACAGAGTTTCCAGAAGGCCTTTCTAATTAAACCATTTGTCAGTGTCAGATACCAATGGCTGAGCTCTGGTTTAATATTGCCTGGAAAGGAAGAAGATTGGTGGAGTTTTTTTGCTTCCTTGCCTCTGCCTTCCTTCCCAAACTGTTGGGCTGAGGAAATGGAGAAAAGGACTTAGGAGCAGGCATGAAGGGTCCCATCCCTCCTCAAGCCTGCTGCGGTTTGGGTGAAGGACAAACCTGTGACACCACTCTGTCGGAAAACATGTTTGTAGGGATAAAAGAGGTGTGAGGATCACTCTGGCAAAACTTACAGCCTTTTTTCCTGCTTGAAGTGAATTATTTTATTGGCCTTAGTGCCTGGGCTGGGTATGCAGTTGTTGTTCTTGCTTTATCTTTTCAGATGCAGATACTTCTGTGCTTCTCTGTCTAGATGGCATAATAGCTCTTGCCTAAGCTGCTCCAGATCCATATTTCTGAGAAGCTAAACAAGGCAATATTGTTTCTTGCCATTGATTTTATTTCTGGATGCTTGGTTTTTTTTGTGATTGAGATTTGACCCCTGTTTATCACAGGTGATATTGAACTTTGTAAGAAACACTCTGGTTTCCTGGGACCTGTTTGCTCAGTAACAGTCTGCCCAGGGAAGATGAGGGAGCAGGGAGATGCCTTCCTTGGGGTGAAGTTGAAGGTATACCAACTTTTTACTGGCAGACTTGCTAAGTAACATGCACTTGTGTTCAGGTAGAAGGATTTCCTATTCTGTAGAATAAAACTTCTTTTTCTCTCTGCCTCTCTCCTTCCTTCTCTCCTTTCCCCCTCCCCAGGTGGCTTTAACAAGTTTCAGACCGAATATTCGGAGCACTGCGAGACAAACCTTGACAGCTCCTCGCCCAGCAACTCTCCTCCGGCATCAGTCCTTGGCCTGGGAGGGCTGCGGATAAGCTCTGACTGCTCAGATGGCGAATCCGACAGGGAACCCAGCAGTGCCACGGAGTCGGATGGGAGCCCCATCCCTAACAATCAGCCTGCCTTTCCGGTCCAGATCCTACCTTACCTGTACCTGGGCTGTGCCAAAGATTCGACCAACTTGGACGTCCTGGGCAAATACGGCATTAAATACATCCTGAATGTGACTCCCAACCTGCCAAACATGTTTGAGCACGATGGAGAGTTCAAGTACAAGCAGATCCCCATCTCAGATCACTGGAGCCAGAACCTCTCGCAGTTCTTTCCTGAGGCCATTGCTTTCATTGGTAGGTGGCTGGTAGAACATCTCTTTTCATACTCACCGCTTGGGAATGTGGCGAGCTGCTTCCCAGGGCTGTTGCTTGTCTCTGGCCCCACCTCTCCAGGGCACAGCATCGGCGCTAGCTTAGGAGCTGAGCGTCACGCTGCTGAAGTGACACTTCTGGTGTGTGTCACCCTGGCTGGGTTAAGGGAGGCCTCCCCTTCCAAAATTCAGCCTCTTACAGCACCTCAGCTGGGTTACCTGCAAGTGGCAGGACTGGCCGCGCTGGACCCAGCTGTGCTGCCTCTTGCCCTTGTATGGGGATTCGCACTTGTGTGAAATGGCTGAAGCGAGGCGGTGGGGAGCTCCTTTGCCTGCTTTGCTTGAAGGAATGAGTGTTGATGGGAGCTGCATTAATGTAACTGGTGCCAGCAATTCCTTAGCCCCAAGTGTGGTTAAAATCTGGGGGAGAGGGGGGGAGCAATGTTTTCTTCTCCCGAGGGGATTTGCTAGTCTAGCTGCAATCCTGCTGTAAGTCGCCCTAGCATAACTAACTCCTTGTATGGATACTTCTCCTAAGGTAAGTGTCAACACAATGAGTTAGTGATTATAATTACACTGCAGAGCTCAGCTGGAAAAACTGCTGTGCAGACAGCCCCTGGGACAGCTTTGGCTGAGTGTGGGGAGGGGCACAGGGCGCATAGATCTCTTCTTGCAAGCTAATGTTGACTTTGAAAATTGCTTCTTATACTGTGAGAAGTGTCTGTTGGACTGAATAGGGACATAACACTTCCAGCATGACCTGTGCTGTCTGCTGGTGACGGTCATTAGCCTAATCAGCTCTGATTTATGGGGGCTGCATGGTACAGGTAGTCATTACCACCGTTAACTGTTAAAAGTCCTGTGGCTTCATTTCTGGTTACAATCATCAGTATAGGTAAAGGCGAGGGGGACCTTTACCTTCACACTGAAATCTATGCAGCCTGTTTCCATGCTGCTTTGTTGCCCCCTGTCTTGGACCCCGCTGCAAGTGCTGGCTCGCTGGGCTGTGAGGCCTGGAGCAGGGCGGAGCGGGGGTAGGTCCTCGTCTGTTTTCCAGCTGTTGGAAACCCTGGTTCCCACGCGCTCTCCTTTGTCCCCAGTTGCTGTCCTCTAGTAACACCACTGCAGTCGGAAGCGGCTGCTTCATTGTGGCAGCAGGGACCTGTCTGATGTCCCATCTTCATTCGCTTCCCACATGGAGTGTGTTATTAAACATCAGGGGTGAGGTACGGGATCCCCGCTGGCATGTGGCATTTGGGATCCGTCTGCTCCAGTCAGGGGATGTCTCTGTGAACACTGTGCCTGTGCTTTCCAGTTAATGACAGGAAATGGAGGATTACCTCACTCAAAAACCAAACACCAAGAAATGCAGCACAAGTCAGATGAAAGGCAAAAATGTCTCAAAAAAATGTTGAACAAGGAGAAGTGGGGAGGGCTGGGCATGCTGGGGGTGATTGGCCACTGTACTGGAAATTCTTGCCTGGTTTTGGAGGCTGAGGCAGAAAACCTGTTGTGGCTTGGGTCTGGATTTTGTTTTGCCTGCATCTTCTTTGCCCTTCCCTGTGCTCGTGGTGCCCAGGGAGTGTCTCTTACCTCCAGCTTTGCCCAAGGATCCTCTTTTTCCTGCCACCTTCTCCCTCCCTGCCAAGCTCTCAGTCAAATGACTGACTTCAAATAGGGCTGCGCAGAAGTAAGCAGTGCTGGGTACTTGCGTGCATTCAGCGCTCTCAGCGGCATGTCCCTCTTTCAGCGCTAAGATGTCAATTCATACAGGGATCACGCTGTTCTGGCTGCGCGAGAGACAATGAGTGTGTGTGTGCTTTTCAATCGGTGGCAAGGGAGGGGAAATTTCATCACTGTTCTCTCGCCATTTTTTTGGTCCAGCCTGCATTCCTGAATTCATCCTGAGAGCCTCCTCCAACACAAGCGCTTGTTTGTAGTGAAGTGCGTTTCTGTCTATCCTAAAGAACAATTTCGTAATAAGGGAAGTTCCTGCACTTCAGACTCCTCTTAAATTGGCTTTGACTACATTCACATAACTTTGTTGTGGAAGGAGGAGGAGAACAGTGGAAGAGGCTAGCTTGTGTGGTGCTGGGCTGCAGCCTCGCATTAAGCGCGGAACCTTCCCCGGTTAGTTGGTGTTGAGGGGGGTGTGCTGTGCCTGACCACCAGCATCTCCCCTGGAGCCGTTGTCTCCAGCTCCATCTACATTCTGTGGGTTTGCGTAGAGGGTACCGATGCTCCCCAGGCAAGGGATGTGTTGCCAGGCTTGATTAATACTTCTCAAGCATGTGAGATGCTTGGCCTTGCTGCGTGGAATGGGGATGTGCAGCTTTGCCTTGTGGTGAGAATATCTCAGAGCCCCTTGGGGAGAGATGTGGGTGTCAAAGGGACATGAGATGGTGTCACTAGGAGCAGGGGATCCAGTTCTGGCAGTCATCCTGGTCGTAGGAGCTTGCAGCTGCCACCTGGCCCTGCTCCAAAGCCATGTGTTTTTGGTGCAGAATAATAGACTCCCCCTTCCCCTTGTCTTGTTGCAGATGAGGCCCGTTCCAAGAAGTGTGGGATCCTTGTTCACTGCCTCGCTGGCATCAGCCGGTCCGTAACAGTCACTGTCGCCTACTTGATGCAAAAACTCAACTTGTCCTTGAATGATGCCTATGACTTTGTGAAAAGGAAAAAATCCAACATTTCCCCAAATTTTAACTTCATGGGCCAGCTCCTGGACTTTGAGAGGACTCTGGGACTCAACAGCCCTTGTGACAACCGCTCGCCCAGCGAACAGCTCTACTTCACCACCCCCACCAACCACAACCTGTTTCAGCTGAATACCCTGGAGTCCACATGAAGGGGATGCCACCTGGTCGGGAACTTGAGCATCGAATCGCTTCTCTTGAGCATTTCAACTCTTACAAAAGTATCTGTCTTGCCAGGCAGCTCTGAAACGACTGGCTTCTCTGGGCAGAGGTGCCTGATCGCTGCTTTAAGAAGGCTAATGCCGTTCATTAGTGTCCTGATCAAAGTGGTTTGAAGAGGTAGTCTTTTTACAGGGGGTTATTTAATACGGGCGATGTTACAGCATTTTGAACGCAGCTGTTACCGGCAATAACCGCTTTCCTGGGTGCATTGGGACTGTCGGAGCACGCACACATGTGAAGAGCTACCAGGGGTTAGCTTGCTGTGGAAAGTGAGGAGATTTATGCACTTGGAAACCTTGAACAAAAGGTGTTGGGCCAAGACTGTTTTAAACCCCAAGTTTACTTTTTTGATTTTTAAAAAAGCAAAGGTAGATCTTACTCGAGCTTTGGGTTCAAACTCTTTTTAAATATGTAAGTTCCTGACTGTTTGTACAGACGAGGTTGCAAAACCAGTATTTTATTCTGTTCCTTGTTTGATCATTTATTATTTTTTTAATCAAATGTTTATATTGACCAAATGCATTTTGCACACTTTGTGAAGCCTTGGTATGTCCTGGCATATTACTGGGTACTCCAGAGAGAGATACATGCTGCTGCTGCTGTTGTTAGCATCTGGTAGGAAGCTTTGTTACGTGTGAAGGCCAGTTGGGCTTAAACGCAACCCCTTCACCACTCCTGCACTCACAATCACAAACTCTGCACTGATTCAGCCAAGGTGACTAAGCCGCAAGTTGGTTGTTTTTTTTTTAACGCCACCCCTGCCAAAAACACTGTTTGCTATTGCCAGAGGTAAAACTCTTGTAGCCTCCAGAGTTGGTAGAAGCATGTCTGAGCCCAGCTTCATTCTCTGCTGCCTGTTGACTGACTTAACGTCATCCAGCTGGCCCAAAACCATTCCAGCTTCCCGAGTACAGAAGGTAGTTGTCATGTTGGTGTTTCTGGTGCACACTCGATTCTTTCCCATGTGTGTGGGGTGGAGGGGGGAACACGGCAAGCGCCTGGAGCAGAGCGAGGATTGCATAGCGGGACAGGACTGAATTGTCATGCATGGAGCGCGTGAGGGGAGTGAAGAGATGTGGAATTGATGACAAGAGTGTTGTAACAGAGAATTTTTATATA